TAAGGTATGCCTAACCCAAACCATGGTATTTTCAGTCACTTCATATGCATGTGAGAGCTGGACAATGAATAAGGAAGACCGAAGAGTTGATGCTTTTGAGTTGTGGTGTTGTTAAAAAATGCTGAGCGTACCATCGACTGCTAAAGTAACTAACAAATCTATCCTGGGCGAAGTGCAGCTGGAATTCTCCTTGAAAGCCAGAATGGCCAGCCTTCATCTCACCTACTTTGGTCATGTTGTCAGAAGGAACCATTCTGTGGAGAAAGATAACATGCTTGGTAAAGTAGAGGGCCAACAAAAAAGGGGAAGGCCCTCAACAAGATGGACTGACACAGGGCTGCAGTCATGGGCTCAGGTATAGGAAGGATTATGAGGGTGGCACAGGACTAGTCAGTGTTTTGTTCTGTTGTACATAGGTTGCTATGAGTCAGAGATGACTCGATGGCATCTAAACAACAACAACAACTTGATGCACATGTTTAAAAGTTTGGTCTATATGGTTTATTCAATTTCTGCAATATAGTCAGAAGGCTGGGGTACTAAATTCTCAACTCATAAGTTAGTCTTAGCTTTTTTCTAGGTTGGCAGTTTTGCTAACTCTCTAATCATATTTGAGTGATTTACTGTTGATCTTGTTCTTTTTCTGAACAAAAAAAAATTGTTGTTTAAGGGTTGTAAAAGTTCTCCAAAGAATTGAAACGCCAGGTGATTAGTTTCAGAACTCTAACTGGGTAATTTTTTGTGCTATGTTTTAAACTGATCTGCAGTTCTAATTTTAGATGTGACAGTTCTGTAATTTTTGCTTTTTTGTTTTTCTGCAAAGAAATATTGGAAATTCTTTTCTGAAGTTTAGAACTCTCCAGAGTCAGTTATTGACACAGTAATGTACTGTGAGGGTAGTAGGAATGGTAGTATAGTGTTAAGAATTTGGGAATAGCAGTCAAGCATATAGATTAAAAATAAGCCTTTTTCCTTCAGAAGTATATAGGTCTTCTTCTGTAAGACAGAAATAATTATACTTACCTTGGAGAACTTTTCCCTCCTATATCACCTGTCCTCCACGTTCTCCTACCTAGTGAGGATGGTTGGTAGGGCATGAAGAAAGTCGTGTTCCTGTCTGTTTTTCAGATAGAGCTAAGATTTCATAAGTCTTCATAGCAGTGTTATCCTTTGGCCCTGCATTTCACACTTTTATCAAAGAGCCTCTAGTGTCCTCCCAGGTAAATGTCTCTGCTGACCCTCAGTAAGGAACTCCAGGGAAGGTTGCTGAAGGTGTGTAGTTTATTTTAGTATCCAGAACTGACTTTTGATGATACAATTATTTTTAGTGTGCGTATCAGTTTGCTGGTTTAGTAAATAAGTAATGACAGAGAGAGTCATTTCAGGCTCCTATTTTTCTTTGCTTATAAGGATATTCTGTAAAGTCTATTCAAATATTCTGTTCATAAATTTCTGAGGGCCTCCTGCGCTGTCTACTGTTCCTCTGAAGTTAGTGAGTGCTTTATTTCCTGCATCTGTTTGGTAGGCAGTGCTTTCAGTCAGTGTTTCTTGCTACACACTCCTTCTTTTGATTTAGAAAAGAGTTAATGATCCATGGTTAAAATAAGTGAATGTGCTTCAATATAATAATGATAATAAAAGCTACCCTTTGTGTTGTACTATAGAGTTGTTGTTGTTGTTGTTATATGCCATCGAGTCGGCCCCGACTCATAGTGACCCCTCCTTGGGTTTCCGAGGCAGTATCACTACGGAAGTAGGATTGCCCAACCTTCCTTCTGAGGAGTGGCTGGTGGGTTTGAACCGCCAGCTGTCTGGTTAGCAGGCAGGTGTCTTAGCCACTATGCTACCAGAGCTCCTACTATAGAGTTATAAAACATTTTTACATGTTTGAGATTCACTGCAATCCTAGATGATGTGATTGATGTTGGTAGTAGGTACAAAATAGGGACAGTAATAGTAACAGTGGTAGTCAAATTAGCAGTGGTTATTATATTCATGGGAGCTCTGGTAGCATAGTGGCTCAGGCACTTGACTGCTAACCAGAAGGCTGGCGGTTCAAACCCACCAGCCACTCCTCGGAAGGAAGATGGGGCAATCTACTTCCATAGTGATACTGCCTAGGAAACCCAAGGAGGGGTCGCTATGAGTTGGGGCCGACTCAACGACACACAAGAACAACAACAATTATATTCATGAGAGAAAGCCTGATGTTATTTCTTCCATAGGGCATTCACCCATATCATTCTCTGAGCTATACCAGTGGAGATACTGCCACAGATTCTCCAGTGCATGTTGGACGTTCTGGAATGCCAGTAAAGGAGAGTCCAAGGAAAGAGAGTCTGCTCAGCTACCTGACTGGAAGCTTCCCAAGCTTACACAATCTTCTGGAAGGGACTCCCCAGAGAAGTAGTGCAGCTGTGAAAAGTAGCTCTCTAACGAGAACAGGTACATCCTTTAGATTTAACAATGATAACTTTTATATAGATACATACTTTGGTTGTACAATTAATCTTTCCTATTACACCTTGTCTTTGAGAAAGTATTTTGGAAATTCTTATTGTGTTTGTAACATTCCAGTGTTCTCCTACCCTTAGTTTATTATATTTTTAAATAGCAACATTGGCATTACTATCAACCAGTGTGTGGTATGAGATGATATGTAGTCCAGCCAACATCAAATTTCTCTCTTATTAATGCCTTTAATATTCAAATACCAACCTCATTCAGAGAGATTTTGAAAATACATTCAGAGAGGCACTTTAACCCGACTTTTCAGAAGTAGTTGTTTTCTCCTCCTTAGTTTATAACTTATACTGTACTCAATAAATGTTTATTTGCAGGAAATACAGTAGCCACTGATATATTATCTGAACATCCCTTGCTATCTGAGCCATCATCTGTGAGCTTCTATAACTGGATGTCAAATGCTGTGGGTAATAGAGGAAGTGTGGTACAAGAATCTCCTGTTACAAAGTCAGGACACAATAGCCTTCCAACAGGTATTGAATTATCATATTATTTTGTTTAACTGTATAATGCTCATGTCTCATGTAAAGTTCTGAAAAAAATCCTGTTTTTCAGAAGATAGTTAAAAATCTTAAATGTTTTTTAAAAGTTTCAGTTACTGTCTAGTTGAGATTGACCCATTTATAAAATACTTTTGATAGTATTTCAATTCAGAGAGAAGTATGCAGTCAGTTCATGTGCCTGAAGAAAGGCAAATATGGCAAGTATGAGCTTGTATATGAATTAAGAGTTTAAAATCTCCATTTAATGTGATTGGTTTAATTTTTAAAATACCAAAAGGATATAAATGAATAAATGTAGCATATAATTTTCACATCATTTACCTATAATACAAAAAATACTTCCAGATTATTCAAATTCTTCTGGTCCATACTAACTAGTATTTTTGCTTTGTTTTTAGTTAGTTAACAAATAATTAATTCTAGGGGATACTAAGAGAAAATAAGATTCCTTCCCTTGAGGAGAGAGATAAATGAGAGCCTTTTATTTTTCTAAAAAGAATACGTATAAGTAGAAAGGAGACTGGAAGAGAATTTACCAAAATAGTAACAGTGAATCTCTAGACTTTTAAGTAGATACAAACTTCTTTTCTCTTCTTTTTTTATTAACATTTTTTAAAATTTTTATTGCTTTGAATCTATAGAAGTTACAAAGATGATGCTTTCACTAGCTCTCAACACCTTCCTGGTACTAGTCTCACGACTCAGAGTGCATATAGTTTAAATTTGAAGAAAACCAGAAAGGAACAATTCCTCTTTATCTAATTGGTCTTTTGCCTGGAGAGGTAAAAGATAAAGGGAGTATAGAGGAAAGGAATAGAGGCATTTCATTTTTGTTCTGTTTTAGGAAAACAGTTGGGAAGAAATTTGTATGTGTGGTTCTGTGATACCTATGGCTTTTGACCTGTTACAGTTGCTTTTTATAACCCTGCTACTGACTAAACTATTTCTTAGTGCAAAGCTGATGGGACATAAAATGCTTTTCAAAGAACTTGTGCCCATAAAATTCTACATGTGGACTGGCTGACTCTAGAACCAACTTCTTGTATGAGGATGGCCAGTGTTTTCTACAAATTTAGTTTACTTTCATTTTCATTAAATATATTGTGTCTGAAAATAACCTAAAATCTTTTTTTTTTTTTCCTTTTCAATTTAAGTGGTCTAGTAATGGTACTATAGTACAGGCTTTACAAATTTACCTAGCTGTGCCACTTTAAGTTGGTTCTATTTCCCAAAAATTTACATCTTATTCTTGAATATTTGTTCTGTTAGGTGTTGCACCCAATCTTCCTACAATACCCTCAGCCTCAGATTTCAACACAGTCTTGTCTAGCGACCAGAATACTTTGGATGGGACGCATTCTCAGCGTAGCACTAGTCAAGATGATGTTGCAGGTGTAGAAGAAGCAAACCAGGGGTTTCCTGCTGTTCAGCTTGCTGATGCACAGGTGAGTCTCCCCCTTTTCCCTAATTACACTAACACCTCAATAGGTAGTACTTAGCAATGGAACCATGAAGCAATACACATTTTAGAATTCTAGTGAAGATCTTTATTCTGTGCTTCTCTGCCTTAAGTTTTCATGTAAGAAAAAAGAGGAGCATTTAAAAAGTATATGGGTTAATGTACATGCAAATAAACATTTAAAAATATTATGCATAATATTTAAAACAGTATATAGGTTTATTTTAAATGCAAATTAAACATCTACCATATTTCTATACAAATGAGACTCACCTTCTACATTTGTTTGCCAACTACTCCCTCCTCCCTGGAAGGTATTTTTGCAAATGTACTATTAATTTTTGTTGTTGTTACAGTAACATGAAGAAAAAAAATGGCTTAGTGGCACTTATGAAAATACTTCCCACAGGGGGAGGAAACAGCAAACAAATGTAGAAGGCATGTGTTATTTGCATAAAATTACATTATAGATGCTCATTAAAGAAAAGGATGACATTTAGTATCTTGTCATATACAATAACATTTTTATTGTTTGGAGATAACAGTTTAGCAAAGTAACAGGACTAGAAAGATAAAAATTCAATCCTATCTAGTAGTCTTTAAGCTGTTAAGACTTCTTTGAGTAAGTAATGGGAGGCCTTAAAGATTTTAGAGTAGAGGAATTAAGTGACTGAAACACTATGTGTGAATTATATGGGTAACAATATATGGAAAGAATTGAAGTAGAAACACTAATGGTGGAAAGAAGAGATGATTTATTGGAATTATTCAAACAAGTTGTAATGAGACTTTAAGCTTAGGTGATTGTACTGTGATATGAGAGAAATGTAGAAAGTGAGGGGGCGTCCTTTGAAACTTACTTTTTGTTTGAGTATTCAAAAGACAAGGGAGAGAGTGGGACATTTTAGGATGGAACATGGGTATTGGAAGGTATATTTTTTTCAGGATGCAAAAGGTTTGAGCATATTTATATACTTATGAGGAATTAGAAAGTCATAGTCAGAAAAACAGGAAAGAATTGACTATAAGTGCAAGATTCTTAGATGAGAAGCATTGGAATTTAGAGTCAATTGTAGAGAGATGCTTGAGACAAAAGAAAAGACAGTTCAGAACTGTAGAGGTAAGTTTGTAGTTTTCTCTGACAGTAGGAGACATTTAGGCTGTTAAGTGTGTCAGCCACTTTAAAATTTCATAAGATTTACTTCTTCAATACATGAGAATAGCTTTTAGGGATTCTTCCATTTTTTTGAAAAAGAGAGACTGGGAAAAGAAAAGAAATGGCTTGTATAATAGTAAGTTTATTGTTTTTAGCCTTTTAATACTTGTCTTTACAGATAGTACATGTTTTAGACAGTATTTTATATATATAGTCTAAAATTTACCTGGAATATGAATATTGAATAACAAAAAATGTGTAAGGTGATTTAGGAATGTTTAAATGGTTATGTAAATGGGAAAGAAAACTCACCACAAGCCCTCAAAAGGATTGCCAAATACTGCTGAAGGCTCCAGTTAAAGGTTTAGGTTGGTGCTGAAATACCAATAAATGCAATTATGTTATTTCTTCTCATTGTCCTTAGAAGCTCAATTATAGGAAGAGGATTAAGCCAAAATAGATGTGCTAAGGAAAATAAGGTGAAGAGAGCAAATCTAGGAAGATGCTGAAATGGAGGTTAAACCAAGATTGTGGGAGACAAGGAAGTCACATAACTTTGTGTCTGAAATGTTGATTGGGTCAGTTGAATTGCCAGTGAAATCATTCAAGATGATAAATTGGGACAGAACAGAAAAAGAAGAGAGTGAGTCAGGAACCAAAGTCCCCAGTAGGTATGCATGATTAACCAGGGGCATAAATCGATAAAGTTAAGAAAAGATGGAGGGTGGTTTGAACCTTGAAAGAGAAAAAGTTTTTCCACTGAAATGAAAGAGCACATCTAAGAAAGAGTATACCCAAAGAACAAAAGCAAGGGAGAAAGAACTTCTCCCTAAGAACTAGTCTAGGGTAAAATTATTTGAATTTTCTCATTTTAGGCCTTCAGACATTCACAAGAGTGGTCCTTTTTCCCAAGCACAAACAAATGAGATGACCAAGAGACAATTTAAAATATGAGCTTAGATCTCATTGCACAAATGACGTATGTCCATATTAGATAAGATTTTTTGAACTTCCAGGAAGGATTATTAGGGCTGAATATATAGTGAAAGAGTTTGAAGATGGCTAGAAAAACAAACACTGGATAATATGTTTATTTGGGATGTGGGAGGAGGAAAGGAACTGTGGGGCAGAGAAGGAGTACTCAAAGTGAAAATAGTAATCCAGTGTTGAACACATGTCATTGCTTCTGTTTGATTAATTAGTAGCAACTGAGGAAATTCAGTTAACTAGGGATTTAGCTAACGAATCATGTATTCCATAGGCATAACCAAAAACAAACAAACAACTCACTGCTGTCAAGTTGATTGCAACTCATGGCAACCCCTCCTTGGGTTTCTGAGGCGGTTTCTCTACGAAAGTAGATTGCCCAGTCTTCCTTCTGAGGAGTGGCTAGTGGGTTTGAACCGTCAGCCTCCTAGCTAGTAATCAAATGCCTTAGGCTCCCTCCATAAGCATATATGTTCTAAAAAAACATAAAAGAAATTTTCTGTGAGAAAATAAATATTAAGAGACTGTCACAACCAAGTAATACCATTTTATAATAGGCTGGGTATTCATAATACAACATTTGGAATGTTTTAATATTAAAACAGAACATTAGTAAACCAATTTGTGAACCTAATACACAGTTTTTATGAAGACACAGTAGTTGTTTATACATTTTTGAAAAGCACAAAGTAGAATGATTTAAACTAATTCATAATTTTATTTTCTAAGTGCTTTTACTCAGGCAGGCTCCAGGAATCTTCATCCGTATAATTTATTTATTTGATGATGAGTGACACATAATAGATTCTCAAAAACACTGTTTAAATTCTAAGATTACAGCATATTTATTATATGAGATCTCTTGTTGCTGAACAACATAGTAATAAGTACTAAGGTACAATAAGAAAAAAGCCATAGTAAATAATGAATTATAAATTGAGCTAATATGTTTTATGTCTTTCAGGTTGTTTTCAAACCTCTTCTGAGTCATACAGGGATCCAGTCACAGGATGCAGTGCCACTCTGCTACCGAATGTACTTTGGAGAACATCTGTCATTTTCAGGGACTTTGGATTGCCTCAGAGCAGATATTGTGGATTCAGACACAGCCAAAGAGAGAAAAGGCAAAAGAGCAAGAAGGTATCCTTTCTGATGATGTTGTTTTTATGTAAAATTTTATACAAAGGTTATAATAACTTTGTTTTATAACTTTGCTGTCTTCTAATCCTAATGAAAAAAACACTCACTGCCATCAGGTCGGATCCGACTCATAGTGACTCCTCCTTGGGTTTCCAAGGTGGTATCACTACAGAAGTAGATTTCCCAATCTTCCTTCTGAGGAGTGGCTGGTGGGTTTGAACCACCAGCCTTCTGGTTAGCAGTCAGATGCCTTAGGCACTGTGTCACCAGAGCTCCATAATGAAAAGGTATTTTAATATCTTAATGAGAAAGCAGTTTCATTTAATAAAAATAGTAGGCACATTTTCCTATTAAAAACCTGATGATTTAATCAGTAGAGTTTAAGGACTATTTTCAGGCTATTTTTGTACCATTTTAGACATGAGGGTCATCCAAAGTATATATATATTGATATATTGCTAATAAGCATTTACTTACTTAGCTGTTACAGTAGTTGAATATTTAGGACTTTATGGTTTATAGTTTTATATATTTACTTAGAATTTATTCTCCTTTCTGAGTTGACTTGTAGCAGGTAGTATTTTGTATTAGGATAGAAGTCATATTAACAGTTTAGCCATCAGGAACAAATACTCAGGAATGCTAAATGTAAATGGTGGAAGTTAAGATGCATCTTTTACTGCCATTCTTTATTGTCATAGATACGTCTTCAGTTTCTTTATTGCTTGCATAGGAAGTAATATGTCCAATAATAGGATTTAACTAATCTTTTGGGAAATTGTAATTTTACTTTGGTCTTGTTTAAGTGTATAGGAATAGTAGAATATGGACACAGGTGACACTATGACAAATGGGTTTTGCAGTATTTTTTGTTTCATACTATTCTTGCTTTTACAAAATCACAAAGTAAAAGAAGAATGAGCTTATGTTGTTCAATATATAGGGAGCTCTGGTTGCATAGTGCCTAAGGCATCTGACTGCTAACCAGAAGCTGGCAGTTCAAACCCACCATAAAATGTATTTTTCCCTTGAAACATTCTACTTAAAATTTTTTAAAAATTAATTTTTATAAAAATCTATGATAATTGTGCATAGAAGAATATAGCTTTCTTAAAATTCTTTTATCTCTAAATAGCTGAAGACTTTCTAACAACACAGGAACATGGAAATTGCATTATCTTTTCTATTACATACACACAGTCCTTTTTACAGTAGTGTAGGATTGTAAAAAATGGCTGTGCAGGCTGAAACCATGCAGTGATGTTAATAATTAATAGGAAAATTATGATTGATTCTGACCTTTACAAATGTCAAAATATTAAAAATTTTCTTATTGTTGATTATAAATATTTCATGAAATGAAAAAAGTGGTAAAATTAATGTTTATTTAGTACTGCATAATTTAAAACATTAGAAACATTGAGAACTAAGGTATTTTCTTCTTTGTAAAAACTTAGCAGGAGTAGTTTGAACAACCCTTGCCAGCTTCTAATCATATAACACAACACAGAAAGAACATTGTTTCTATGCCTTGCTGAAATGTTGTATTTCTTTGTAAGTATGGTCCAGCTTACAACATTTTATCCTTTGTACTTTCTGTGTCATGAAATAATATCAAGAGTTCCTTTAGTATGGTGTTTGTTGCCAGCATCACTTCCTTTGAGATGTCTTTATCCTTTCCATCACAACTACTTTCTTCATTTATGTGGATAAGCTCACCTTCACTGAGTTCCTCTGGCTACATATCTAAAGTCTCTCAAACAGCTAAAGTGTCAACATTTCCATGGTTAGCTCTTTCTTCTCTAAACTCGTTTTATGTTCAATTGAATGTCACTTCCAGCATTATCTCTTTTTCTTTCTTTGCTTCAGTTTCATCTGTGTTGGCCAATTCCCTTTTTTGATTATCTATTTTTATAAAATGCCATGTGGTTTATCACTGGAACCAAGGAGACAGCATAACTACATATTGTGCTATCTGTGCGTGAACTGAATAACAAATGCACATTTATCAACTACCAACAGAATTTTGAAACAAATGACATAATTGGTTACTATACATCCGTTATTTAAAAAAGAAATTTGTACACTAAAACGGTAGTAGATAAATTTGTACCTTATGGAGTGACTCTCAGTAACTTTTAGTTATCCTTGTAACTAAAATTTGAACCATGTTGTTAGGGAACTAATGTTATCAACTAAACATTAGTAACTAAAATTCACTTATATTTGAACTATACAGATGTATACCTAAATATTTAATAGCTGTATCCACTCCCTATTTAAAACTAAAAGGTCTGAGCTAAACATTTATTTCTGTTTGTGCTCTTTATGTGTGTGTATACACACACACATAGAGAGAGAACAAAACACTGCCCAGTCCTTTGCCAGCCTTATGACCCCTACTATACCTGAGCCCATTGCTGCAGCCCCTGTGTCAATCCATCTTCTTGACGGCCTTCCCCTCTTTCATTGACCCTCCACTTTACCGAGCATAACATCCTTCTCCAGGGAATGGTCCCTTCTGATAACGTGGCCAAAGTAGGTGAGACAAAGTCTGACCATTCTTGCTTCCAAGGAGCATTCCTGCTGCACTTCCTCCAGGACAGATTTGTCAGTTCTTTTGCAGTCTGTGGTACTTTCAGCATTATTTGCCAACACCACAACTCAAAAGCATCAACTCTTCTTCAGTCTTCCATCTTCATTGTCCAGCTCTCATATGCATATGAGACAATTGAAAACACCATGGCTTGGGTTAGGCACATCTTAGTCTTCAAAGAGATATTGCTCTTCAGCACTTGAAAGAGGTCCTTTGCAACAGATTTGCCCAATGCAATACATCTTTTCATGTCTTGACTGCTGCTTCCATTGGTGTTGATTGTAGAACCAAATAATATGAAGTCTTTGATAACTTCAGTCTTTTCTCCATCTATTGTGATGCTACTCATTGATCCAGTTGTGAATATTTTCGTTTTCTTTATATTGGTGTGTAATCTATACTGCAGATTGTAATGTTTAATCTCCATTAGTAAGTGCTTCAAGTCATCCTCACTTCCAGCAAGCAAGGTTGTATCATCTGTGTATCACAGATTGTTAATAAGTCTTCTTCCAGTCCTGATGCCCTGTTCTTCTTCATATAGTCCAGCTTCTCAGATTATTTGCTCAGCATACAGATTGTGTAAGTATGATAAAGGACACAACCCTGACACACTCTCTTGTTGATTTTAAACCATGCAATATCCCCTTGTTTGTGTTCAAACAGCAGCCTCCTGGTCTATGTACAGGATCCTCGTAAGTACAATTAAGCGTTCTGGAATTCCCATTCTTCTCAGTGTTGTCCATAATTTGTTAGGATCCACACAATCAAATGCCTTTGCATAGTCAATAAAACACAAGTAAACATCTTTCTGGTATTCTTTGCTTTGAGCCAAGATCCATCTGACAACAGCTATGATATCCCTTGCTCCACATCTGCTTATGAATCTAGCTTGCATTTCTGCAAGTTCTCCGTCAATATAGTGCTGCAACTGTTTTTGAATTATCATCAGTAAGATTTTACTTGGGAGCTCTGGTAGCATAGTGCCTAAGGCACTTGACTGTTAACCAGAAG